ATTCGTATGCAAGCAATCAACTGTATTTCTAATTTGGTCGGGTTACACCAAACACCGTCATTACGGGCGGTTTCTATGATTGCATCGTATTGCAACGTTTGATAACATCGAAGGCTTTCTTAAGGGTTAACTACGATATCTTGGCTGAATCAGCAATTTAAAAAATAGTAAATAAAATTCTGAGTATGTTATTTGAGTTTTAAAAACAATGGAAGAGCACTTATGGGCTTTTAAAGGGCGAGTATTATTTCTTTTAATTTTAAAGTTATAGAATAATAACCCTTAAATATGTACTTACAATATTATCAGTACAATAATCTCGTACGTCGATAAGTTTAAAGTTCTATGTTTAATTGTATATTAGGTACTAGCTGTGCAAAAAAATTACACGCCCCATTCAGGGCAGAGACTTGCAGTACATATTCTAGGAAATTAAGTACCCAATACCTTAAAACACACCCTACTAGTACTTAATGGGTAATTAACCTAGTACCTATTTATAATCCGCGCCCATGTCGATAAAAAAACTTTGTACTAATTATTGATATCTAGCCACAAAAAACCGCAATCTTCGCTTCATTTTACCTTATTCAAAGACCTATTTTAACTTGCAACGCACATTCACCACGAGATTAGGCAAAGCTAAATCGAATGGCCATGCTTGATCCCTTCGCAATCAATCAACTAAAAACCCTCCTGGTGCAGTCGGGTAAAAACTAAACACAGCCACACGTAGTCCCGGTTTGCTACGGTGCTCTCGGCACAATGGACCCAGGATTGGAAGAAAAACGTTTTTCAACAAATTCCAGATCTGGGATCCGCATAACAAGGTGTGCGATGGAAAAAACTGTAACTGAACATTCAATTTGTGGTTGTTAGCGCGGTGTTGAGACCATTGTTCGGGTGTCACGAGTGGGGTAGGTTGTTTTGCGCGCATGTGAAACGAATGGTTCAATTGCATTTAGAAGGTCTTGGTTGATTTACTGCTGATAAGAAGAATCTTATAATACATTTATATGTATTGCATGACCAGTTTGATGAGCGCCAAATCGAACAAACTATAGCGTGCGAGCATTGTCTTCTTGGAAATCTAATCATATTTTGCCATGATTAAGCATGATAGGTACTATCAATCAGTTCAATAATTATTAGTCATCGAACAAATGGATGGAGAAGCGTATTATGTTCGATACAATCCGTCAAAAACGTGCGGTGGATGATTTACCAACATTAGTGAAAAATTCTTCGCAGATACGCTAATTAGGATGTGTTAGTCGTAGTACCTAGATGCTATGAATATTCCCAAAGCTACCTATTAATATTACCCTCAAGGAAACATTGAAAAAACTGATTTGATCCCGCGACAATATCAACGTGTATTACGAATTCACATCCGCCGAAGTCCGTAAATAATTAACATTCCTCTCAATTCCGACCTGTAATAAATTTACCATCCGAAAACTGCATCGGACGTGCGTAACCAACCGGCTAACGTCTGCTACTTCATCGATTTAAACTTGCATCCAACTCAAGAATCGACTTTAATCCTGCAGATCAACACCCTTTCCTGCCGTACATAGAGGAAGAAACTAAACTTCAGAACAAACTCCGTAATGGATACAGCCTAAAGAGATCTCGTCGCAGCGGCAAAAAGTTCGAATCAAAGCGGAGGTCAGACGCTTGCTCCTCACATACGAAGCCCTACGTGATGCTATTGAGAAATTAATTAAACCACCCATGACAGTACAAAACGACAAACCCAAAAACGTCTTTTAGTGCATCTCCCAAGAGCTATTCTATCGCTTTTTATAGACGTTCGTGCAAATCAAAACATTCAATTGACACATTTAACAAACAATGCTGCAGTACATACTAAATTACACTCAGCAAAAAGTGTGGGCGTACGATTTAACGATTATCGTTTAGATTGGAAACTTATAGACTACAATAAATACGTGCCAGACGACAGCGAAGTGTCATTATAAGGGTTTTATGCTTTTATAGTACCAAAACAGGCCCTTATGCCTTCAGAATCGGTCTTAATTAAATCGAATTGAAGACACGTTCAACTCTTTGATTAATACTCGGAGGAGGAAATCGTCAAACCGCAATTCCGAGTACAAGAGATATGTCACAGCTCTCGTCAGGTGCCTCAACATTAAGCATCACCGAGTCCAATTGGATATTTTTTGCGGCGAACCTAACGATGTCTTTTGGTCCGACTCTTTTTTGGCACTTTTCGTGTTTTATACATTCCTAATTGAGGTCGGATTCGCTAAGGATGCGATTAGGCCATGATTAATACAGATGTGCCGTTTTGCCGTCGGTATTTTACATGTATTTTATAAATGAATTGGCTTTTGTAATTCTTGAATTGGACGTGACGGTGACCGAATGGAATTTGGCGCGTAATAAAAGCGCGGCCATTTTGATTTTTGGGTCAATTTCCCAAACACATTTTTTGAGCGGCGTAGCTGAAAATCATATGTTTTTTATGACATAGAACTTTGATTTTTTTTTACACGAAAATATACAGAGGTTCCATTTTGATGACAACATTATTAATGAGTATTTTCTTTTACAAATTCGACAAAAAATAATTGAACTAAGCGTTTCTAATTTTGGTGCAGTGTCCACATCCTTAATTTCTTACAATATGTATTTTTTTAGCTGAAGATCAAAACAGAACTTAGGGAAAAAGTATATTTTTGGATTATACAATCTATCTATTATCTAAGATTACCAAATTAAGCAAGTTTCCCAAATAACTGTGATTAAGTCACGTCCTTAAGTTTTGTCCGCGAAAAATTTATGATTTTGGTGTCAATAATGAAATAGCTCGTCAGTTTCTTTAAAGATCAAACAGGATTTAAACACTCCCATCATTCGTTAGGTTTAGTACCGCCCCCGCGAGCAGTGACGGCAGACGGGTGCAAGACCTCTGCGTCTTCCCGCCAAAAACGTAAATGTGTTGTTTTTTTTTAACAAAAAAATTAAAACCGACGCCAACAATCACTTAAAAGTAGAAAATAAGTACGTCGTTATTTATTTATTAGGACAATATACCATGATTAATATTTTTGGAGTCGGTGCTGGTAAATTTAAAACCATTTCTTGAGCTTGGCACTAAGATATGACCGACTGACAGCATATTTTCTAATATTGGTGCTTTAATATAAATTCTGGTGTTCTCTTAATTTTGGTGTAAGGAAAATCTAAAAAACTACTGGACAAAATTTAATGTCTTAATCATTTTAGAAACAGTATAAGTTTCCAATAAATTTGATCTATAATTAAAGAATAAAAATACACAAATAACAATTTCCACCAAAATTAGGCAAAAATATGCACTTGTTGAAATTCACCCTTTTGCGTTCTTTCAAAGGAAACTTTTTAATTTGTGTTTTTAGTGTGTGGTGTGTAAAGCAAAGGCGTTGCGATGACAATGCTAGGCAGTTGCGTTAACGACGCCGTATTAATGCGATATTTTATTAATACCTGCGGTTGACCGCGCACTCTTGCGCATCGAAGGTGTGATCTCATACGACCACGGAGGTACTCTCTTTTATGACCATAAACAATTCCAAGTTGGTCAATTTACTTCGTGAACTTTTTGGTTTAATATTCAATCATTAACCTTATACTTTAAAGCTACTTAGGTTAGGATACATACATCATAATATTACGCCTATGACATAATAAATTAGCGCCATTAAACGCTAGCGTGTCACGTTAGCTCTAATGTAAACAGAACTGACGTAATCTGTTTATTAAACGTGAAAAAAAAGCTTAACTAATTAACAAAGGCCGTTTAGTGCGCCACAGCCATAAAAATAAACGAGTTAATTTCAAAATAATTACTTAAAACATTTTAAAAGTAGGGAAATATGCAAATAGCGAAAATAGGGCGAACGCAACCGGATGTAGAGATACCGCCATTGTTTTCGTATCTCCATTTCCGTTACGTTTATTGACGTTTCGAAAGAAACTTCAAATTAGCAATAAACATAATAACATGTATTCAACACTGGTTAATTGCAATCAATGTGTATAAACAGTTATTCAAAGTTTTCCTAAGCGAAGCAGGATGATAAAGCCGTTAGGGGTTTATGTGCTTCATACACAAACGCCAAGAAACCTACTTGATTGTTTTTTTTCCTGAATCTACCTACTTTAAATTACTTACGATTAATACTGCTTAATCGAATGGACCCAATTAGAAGAGACTTCAGAAGTGACCTTTAAAAAATTTGGCCGTAAAAATTAGATAAAAATCTTAATTCCTACTGAACGTTCTTAAAAAAATTAAGAGGACCAATAAAAATCGTAGAGTCGCTCATAAGGTACTTTTACATGTCAATTTTTTTTTTGCTGAGCAAATAAACAAAAACATCCTTTACAAAGTTGACACTGATAATTTCCTTTCTTTAAAACGCTTTCGAAACGGCCCGTATATAATTGTGTGCTCGTTAAAAAATAACGATTCCAGGGTGTGTTTTATTGCTCTTTACGACTGGCAACATTTTAGCGGTGCGGGCCTTTTATGGCGGTGTCATAGACACTGTTTTAGTGTCTGATAAAGAGTCAGCATTATCAAGGAGTTGGGAGTTGCTTCACGTTATCTGTGATACCTTCACCCATAATGAGATTGTTATTGTTGTGTGAAACGGAACGACGTAACAAAGAACTTTGTCGATTATGTCTTGTGTCACATCACTATAGCCTAACTAACTAAATTAGCCTTATAATGGCGTCTATCAGGGGCGTAAAAATATATTCGAGAAAAAACAATAAAATTATTATTTATTTATTTTGTTTTTTCCAAGAATTTCCTCCCAGAATTTTAGCATTCCGGAAAAAATGGTCAGTCGCTTAATTTAATGCCAATATACGAGTAGCACATCGTCTCCTTACCGAAAGAGAAAAGTCTTAAGTGTCTAAGTAAGAGACTTTTTCAACTGAACGGACCATATATTTAAATCGCACTCTCTTTGTTCCAGATGGTCAGTCAAATCACCTCAACCTCTTCAACTCAAGGCCGCAGCCGAAGAAGAAGCGAAAATCCAGAACGGCCTTCACAAACCACCAGATCTTCGAGCTGGAGAAACGGTTTCTCTACCAAAAGTACCTGTCTCCAGCCGATCGAGACGAGATCGCGAGTTCTTTGGGGCTCTCCAACGCTCAAGTCATCACATGGTTCCAAAACAGGCGAGCAAAGTTGAAAAGGGACATGGAAGAGTTGAAGAAAGACGTTGAGAGTGCTAAGGTCTTGTCAGCACATAAGAGCTTCCTGGAAAACGTGACAGATTTGGGGATATTAAAGAAGAAAGCTATGAGCATAGGAGCTAGTGAGGAGGCGGCGACAAATCTTGTCGTGAACGCGTCTAAATGAAACGAGGCCCGCGCGATCGCGCCAGAAGTCTACAAACGATTCGATTACTAAATCGATTCAGTCGACTCAAATGAACTCATAGTGACGTTAGATGTTTTACCTTCACTAATCTAGTATTGCGTACTTCACTATTTAAACGACTGTAAATATACATAGATCAGAAGTAGTAATTGTACAAAATGAAGAAGCTTCGTTCGAAATAAATGTGATAGTTGATTTTATTATTTAAGTACTTAATATTTTATAGAGATATTCCTAAATTATTTATTGCGTCTGGACGATATTACTGATGCACTTAAAAGTGGTATTGAAAGTTATTTATTATGTTTCCAAGATACTGTTATAAGGTGATAAAGGGATGATAAAGTTCAAAATTACATTAAATTAGTCTAATATTACCTACAGCTAATGTAAACCTTACAGAATGTGCAATAATAGATTTTAGTGCATCAGTAACACTGAGCAAGCGCGCTTGTACATAATACTTGTATAATTTTTATTAGTATTAAAAGCTCTTTTAATTATAGTTATATAATGTTAATGAGATATCAAAGCTAATGACGTAGGAGGCGTCTAATCTAATTTATAATTAGTAAGCGTAATTACTAATTTTAAATTAGTATTTATACTAATTATTACCAGCATTATAGAACATGGATGTTAGTGGTAATGCATATTTTCATGTCAGTTCTCTGTAATCAAGAGAGGTTTGTACTTAACCAGTGCTTGTATGATGTATAGTATTTTTGCATTTATGTTTGTTTCGATGAATTAATGATAATAATTGTTTTAATAAGCTGATAAATGTAAATGAATTCTCCTTGCTAATAGAAGTTATTGAGTGGTCCGAACATTTCCATACTTAAGTAACTTTTATTAGTGGAGTAATTTATGCCTCTATATTCTTATTCATTGTTAAAAAGAAGATTAACTTAAGAAGAAAGACCTCATTTTGTAATAACTAGTATTTTTCATCATACTACAATGAAAAGAGAAATAATAATGTCCCAGTCCAAAATACATAAGTTTTTCTGATATTTTATGTACACTTCCTAGGTACCTAAATGGAAACCTGTAGAACTTATTTTATATAACTTAATATTATACATCACATCAAGGATTAATACTGAAAAACTAATAATCTTTAACCTATTTAAAATAATGAATTGTCCCTTAACTTATAAATAGCTACTTCTCTATAGCTATTTTAAGTTTGTAAACTAAAAATCATGCATTATGAAAACCATGTAAAAAGTTGGTCATACAGAATCAACACAAAAAGTCCCTTTGAAGCAAATGTTTAAGAATACTATGTATTTCCAAAATTTTCCCTAATTCCAAAGGGTTTTGTAATGTGTAACTGTATTTTTCCTTTCTGCCTCTACTGTGATATTTCTTCCCGCTCTATTCCTCGCTGAAAATTATCGTGTATTCTCTTCTTTACATAACCCCAGGTAGAGTTGCCAGGATGGCGCAAGACGTCCCTATTTCTTAACTAACCTCTTTTTCCTTTAATGTAAGTAAGGATGAAAATTAAATAATTCATCTGTAAGCTTCATGACAAAAAAATTACCTCAACATTTTCATATCTTGTCATGAAACCTGGTTCCAATTTTTCCAATAATTTCAACCGTCTATCCTGATTTGACAAATAGCAACTGGCAACACTATCAATAAGTACAGATGTCAGCAATCAAGTTAAACATTTTTGAATCTTATCCAGTTGCAATGAGAGCTATTTTGCAACAAAATGTAGAGAAGACACCCCATAAACTAATTAGTTTATCAAAACAGACTTAGGCTGAGTTACACCACCTTCTTTGACTGTAACAAACGTCAAAAATCTGTATAATTCCATACAAAAAGCACCGGTTATCATTATAGTTACCGTTAAAGTTACATGGTGCAACTCACCCTTAGTCGGCCTATAGTTTAGTCGGGCTGTTAATCAGTATGAACTTGTATAGAAGTGCGCACATTACACCGATTTGGTATCGGCCGACTCCTCAATTCCTCAAACAAATTGAAAGCCGACCAAACTGTCGGCCGACTAAAGGACGTAGCACACTTGTCAACCCGGAAAGTAACTGTATCAACTCGAAGCGGTCAGTATTATTTTTATAAAACTCCATACTGTAACGCATACTTATTGTAAACGCCTCACCTCCCGATTGACAGCACGTGACAGGCGATGACAGCTCGCGAAAGGCAATACGGTGTTGATCCCTTTCCGAGTTGATAAGCCTGCTATGACCTTAAAAGTCAATAGTCTGCCGGGTTAAATGCGTCAGAGAAGAACTTATACAACTTATCGATATATTCTAACTAATTAACCAATAGTGGTATCTATCAGCCGAACGGCAATTCTTGTTCCTAAAGTTACTTACTACCAATTGTTTAATATTAAATGTAACTTTTATACATTTACGCACTGGACGAACGCGTCGAATATGTGAATATACTTAGTGTAAATAAACGATTATGTGTTCTTAAAATGCAGTTCTTTGTTTTTTTCATCCCTCTTTACAATACAACCAATATTGCCTTAATGAATCGGTGTTGTACACTGTCTGAATCAAGATCCAAGGAACGCGGGTTCGAACCTCGCGTGCGTAGTTCGTTCTCCTTCGAACTTTTCTTGTTGCAAGTATTAGGCTGGATTGCACCATCTTATTTTAACTTTAACAAACGTCAAAAATCTGTCAAACTCCATACAAAAAACACCGGTTATAGCCAAAGTTACGAAGTTACGGTCAAAGTTAGGTGGTGCAACTCAGCTTAATGATAGATCGCCCGGTGCTTTGTCCTGCTGGAAGCTCTTCTGGAAGGACTGGTCTTTTGTTCTAAACGTCCTGCCAGAAGATTATCGCAAGTCCTGCCCGCAGTACGCAATTTGTACGTGTTTGCTTGCTGGTCCTTCCAGCAGTACGGTGACCTTCAAATTTGAACTCATCCTCACCAGAAGTAGTAAACACTTGGTTAGTGTTTATTAAATAAAAAGTCATGTCGTAGAATCATTTTGTTTAACCAGTATTTTACTTATCTAAATATATTATAAACTTGTTTATCTTCTTTCAACTTAACTAATAGGAACTATAATAAGGAACTTTAAATTAATTACTTTGGTACGTCACTTTGTATTAGAAATTACACCTATCACTTACAAATACACTACAAATTAAAAACAAAAACAAGAAATAAATTATAAATGTTTGATTAGGCTGGAATACTTCACATTCATTATAATATTATCGCCAAAATGTTGCCGACTCCACGCCCGGCGCGTCAAAATGTGTCGCGCGAGCGCGAACGCGCTGCCCCCGTGTATACTCGTGCGCCATCGGGCTCCGACTAACGGTTAGTCGCGTTTTTCGATCTTGGGCACTATTGGGTGAAAGAGAGAGAAACACTCTATTTTTTCGTGTAAATTTGAAATTTGTACAATGTATACTTACGAAACTGTGATCTTTTAATTTTGCGTCCTACCGGAAGTACTTTAAGTCCTGCTGGCAGGACTCCGGGCGATCTATCATTAAGTGTACTTTTTCTCGGAGCTTTTCAACTAGTTCAGCCTTCAGGTAGGTTTTTATTTGTAATTCAGCTTCTATCTTGGCTGTACAGGGTTTTTAGTGGTGACGTTAAGAAATGAAAATAATCCTGACTTTTCTAATTATCAAAATATTTCCTAGTATAAGGGCTACTTTCACAAAATAATGTTATCTAAGAAATAAATTCTTGTGGTTGTGACTTTATCTGCCATACAACATTAGACTCCTTATTACAAAAAAGTTAAATAGGTTTTACATTGATTTCCAGACTAAATGACAATTTAAACAAGTGTTCAACGGGCGTTTAACATTTTGTAATAAGCCCTAATGATCCTGTAACACCATCAGTTGTGAATAATTCTAAGCTCCTACTCTTGGTTCGATTCCATGACCAATTATTATTTTAGGAATATGTGTATCTGGCATTGACTGATTCATTTTATAAAATCTACCAAAGAGTTTATATCATATTGACCTTAAACACCGAAAAAAAGAAAAGAACACTCGTTGACCGCAGCGTTATTAACACTGGCCGGTAATTAAAAATATTCCATAGTTAAACTGTTCAAATTATTTATTATTCACGTAGCACTGTGAAATCCATTCGAGGCACGTAAGAACAGGCTCTACGTGGAAATTCGCCTTGTATGGCAACCGTGACTGTTGGGGGAAAGTGAACTTTATGAGGAGGTGATAAGGGGTTCGAAAGTTACGGTTTGGTCCGGGTATGGATTCGAAATGAGAGGTTGATGCGCGCGTCGCGTGCCGAAATCGGATTTGAAGTAAGGCTGGGACTACACTCACTGTAGTTACTTTATCACGTAGTTTACTACTTTTTTACCACGAGAGAGAAGCTCTTGGCCTGCATCTCACATGGAAAGTTATGATAAGGCTGAAGGTGGAATGTAAGTATATACTCGTACGTAAGTCTCTTCTACACAATACAAATTTCCTTCGTCTTTTTATTTGTATATTTATGAAAGAACCTGGATGCGGGCAGCGCAGAACCGGTCGTTGTAGAAAACTTGGGGGGCCTTTGTCCAGCAGTGGACGTCATTAGGCCGGTCGTTGATAGCAGTTGGAAGAATATGCTGAAAATTAGACTCAGTGGCGTTTCTTGAGACATTCTAGAGTCCAACAACATTTAACTGCGCTAATACTGCATAATAGATAGCTATTAAATTTTAAGTTTTGTATTATGGAACCACAGGCAATCAAAACTAAAGCGTAGAGGGAGATTTAAGCCTGGATTTAGATAAATAAGTGGAACGGGAATACTTCTTTAGTTCGCGAATCCCTCCAAACAATGTACTCCCCGCTTAAACCACGCGTTGTCAAATTACACCGGCTCTTCAAACACAAATTGTTAAAACTGTACGAGTATTAGTTCCACCCGAAAGTTTGTTATACGTTAATTGGTCGCTCACTAAAACCAATCGCCAGTGTAACCTGACCTTTCTTACCCTCATAATAAAAGGACACCATAGCTCTATCTTATTGTAAAAGTTTCTATCGTCCACGCAAAACTCGGTGATATTTAAACAGTCATTCATGGTCGTTATATCGACATCCGTAACGTGATGAACCGTACACAATAAATAATTGCCGGAACAACGCTAATCTGGCTATTTTTATTTGTTTTCTTTAATATCGTTACGGTACCTCAAGTAATTAAAAAGATATCAAATTAAACCGTTTCGAAAAAATTTGAAAACCATTTAGAGTTAAAGAAAGTTTTTATAAATGAATAGAACAAAGCAACAACATTGCAGCTCATGGTCCCAATTAAAAAGGTGTGTCACGAATTTAGTTGAAACCACAAAACTTTGCTACATCAAACGTTACATTTACAGCCTTTGTGCTGTAAAAAATTAAAGCAACATAAATTACAAAGCCGTAATTATCGCGAAAACACGTGTTATTGAAAGAAAGCCGTAATAACACACGACTGTTAATTTGCGCTTGTGAAGTAATTAACGCTGAATGATCCGGGGGTATATCTAAAGTACACGTTTCGATCCCTTCATTCGTAACTTAATACCACAATTTCGAGGCGATGGTAGGGCAAAACTCCTTTGTGATGATACCAATTTAAATAAACCCGTGCGATTACGATCCTGGAGTATTTAAATACGTCTTTCACATACGAAATTGGAGTTTTGGAAGCTCAAGTTAAGCTGGGGGTCTTGAAAAACAGTTGTGTATACGAAATATTTAAATTGGAAACGGAATAATTATGGCATACAATCATAGGATGTTATTACGTTACGTTTGTTTTAGAACCGCAATGTAAAGGTAGGAAATTTGTTTTGTAAAGGTGTTGCAAGCTGTAATTATTCTCTTGGGTTATATCATTTGTTTAATTTACGGCGTGGAAACAATTTTGGATCGCATTATGAGTTTAATGTGCCATTTCTTTTCACAGCTTGAACGTTTCATGTGAAAGAAAAATGCTAAAATGTGTTGAAAGCTTTATTCTTGAAAATACACTGGCTGATTAGAAAAAAAACAGATTTTCAAAAAACGAAATGTGCCATTGTCTAGTTTCGAATATTAGCCAGAGGTGTACGAGACGCAAAAGTTTAGAAAGATTACGAGTAATTTGACCAAAATGTTCACATCACAATCTTATTCCAATAGACAATTTGACTC